GATAGTAATAGCTCTGATTTACCCTGATTTGACCCTGATTTCCACCCCTAACCTGTAGGTTTGGAGTGGATCGAAGGTAGGAAGACTAGCTGTCTTGTTATAAACCCCCTCCTTACCATATCATCAACCATGGCGTTTGAAAGAGTTAACTAATTTAAGGTCTGTACTGCTTCTGCTGACAGGTTATTCCAGTGCTTTATCACTCTAAAAACTGAAAAAAATGCGGGTTCCTTAACGGTCTGGTCCGTGCACGCGGAACACGGAAACAATTGCAACCGGGCGTATGCGGGCACGAGTACTGTTGTGATTCGGATCATTGTACAAGAATTTTGTTGGGTCATGTGAATTCGTAGCCATTCATTAGTTTGGAAAGCAAATTTGCAATACACGGTTCTCCTCTTAGTCTTCTCGTGTTCCAGTGTTGATAAGTCCTAGTTTCTCTAGTCTTCGCTGTTCGTCAGGAATAATGACGAATATCTGGAATCATACCGCTGACCATCCTTCTTTGCACCTTTTCAGTAACACTATATCTTTCTGCCAAATAGGATTCAAGATTGGACAGCATATTTCATGAGGTGAGGTCTAAACCAGCTGATTTGGTAAAGCTGAAGTAATGATTTTTAGCTCATCTGACACTAGTCAGATGCAGGCTGGGTGTAGAATCGCTTGATCGTCCCGTCCGTCACGTCCGTCCAACCGGTCTCCTGTCAACAGTGGGGCCAACACAATCTTAAAACCCGCTCGAGTCACACGCGTCACGCATATTCGAGCTAGTCCCGTTGGGGGGCGATCGTTAAAACGAGTTGGATGTCGAAGCTGGGGTGGTCAAAGGTCAACCAGGTCAAGAGGTACTGTAAAAGGAGGGGGCGAAATTACACTCCTTTAACTATAAAGGTATACGGGAGGAAATGACCAGAATTGCGGCACAAATCTAAACGGCATCGAGCTAGGCCGTGATAGTCGGTTGTATAAGCATCATGGTAGGGAAAAGCCATCACTGCTGCCGAAATTGGAGGTCACAGGTCAAGGTCAAGGGCACAGGGCAGATTTTAGACAATTTTCTGAGGGACATGCGTCTGACGGAGCCGATTGAAAAAACTTTTTTGTTTTCAGGGCGGTGACCTACATTTTTATGGCATAGCCTCTTGAAAGGACATGAAAGCTACTTTTGCTGACATGCGAAGAGCTAAGTGCCTCAGATAACCTTTTGACCCTCCAAGAGGAGGGCCTCTACCACCATGGATTTGTTGACTGTCTGTTAGAAGAATTGACTGCTGGGTGGCTAGTAGAATCTATACATGCCTGGTATGTATGAGGCTACAATGTCACTCAGTGAAAATTTCAAAAAAGCTAAACTTTGAGTTAAAGAAGGTTTATGCCTCCTTTAAATCGTATAATTTATATGGTAATTTGTCTGTCAGGATTGGTGACACTGTAAGTATGCCCACTGCCAGTGGCTACTGCCCATGCATTGTGGTGGACCTGGCAGTTTCTTGCCTTAATTGCGGTACAGGTGGCCAGCTCTCTATTGCGCAGCCTGTAGGCTTGCTGATGTAAATGGATGAGTGCTTACCTATTCTGTCTTGCCCAGATAGTTGTTGCTACTACGTGATATGATGGAGCTTCCATCTTTATCTGAATGACACTTAAACCTACGCTGCCCATCTCGCTGGAACTTTCATAACGATCCAACGAACATTCTTTTGAGAAGGTTCCTGATACCATCCCTGTCATTCCACTGGTTTCGGTCGTGTATGTGAACACATTTGGACTAAACAGGTGTTACGCTGAATCCACCACTCCACCAGCAGAGTCACCGCAGTTTAGAACGTTAGGATGAGCGCTGTCGTATGCGGGCACGTGTGTTGTGTCTTTATATGCTATCTACGTTCTATTGGATGACTCCAGTATTTTGGTCGCTTTAGCTGGCAGCTATGGCACATCTTGCTTGCTGTTCTTAAGGATTCAGTTGATGGTTACTCCAAGGTCCTTCTCTTGTTGTACTTGCTCCAAAGATGTGCTTCATTCATGTTGTATTTATGCTTTTGCGGTTTGTTGATAACCATAGTGGGATACTTTTGCATTTGTCGCATGAACAACATTTGTCAGCATTGGCCCACCATCCTGAGTTGACGTTTGCAGGTCATATGTTGCAGCTGCTTCATGCGCACGGGTCTGCTGTTAGTGGATACTGTTCTGAATATTTTGGTTATCACTCTGCAAACTTTATATATGGCTTGCTGGACATTTTCGTCTATGTCGATTGATGTAGATGGAGAAGAGCAGCTACTGGGGCCCAGTACTGAACCTTGAGGACACACTTGTTAGCCCGTGCACCAATCTGAAAATTTCCCCCATTTAGGACCACTCGCTGCTTCCATATTTGTGAAGCATGACCGTATCGCATCTACTGACCTGCCGGTATACCCATGTGCTTGCAGTTTCGTTGACAAGTCGTCTTGATGGGGCTACCTTATCAAAGGGCTTTAGAAAGTTCCAGGATATATTGCCATCCACGAGTTGGGTCGTCTCCGACTCTACATACTTCGGGCACTAGTTTCGGGAGTATACTCGCTAGTAAATTTCGGTGTTTGGCATAGTACCTTTGGGCCACTCCATGAGACCCGGTAGTGCTGAGAGTCTTTAAATGTAGTTGTTGAGTGGTTTCAGTGGGTGGTTATTGTTGGATCTGAGGCTTGATGGCTGCGCTGATGGGGGTTGGTCTAGTAACATCGTTTGAGTTGTCAGTATATTCAGTGGAGAGGTGTGTGTAGTACTAGAGCTGGGTTTCTATGATGAATTTGTGTCGTGATTGTTTGTTGCTATTATCTTTGCATTATAAGTATTCGGATTGTCGACAATTCGCATTTCTCAGATCGATCTGGTCACCACACCATCATTCATGGAGCTCTTCAAATTCTTGCGATTCGGAGTTGCAACTTCTTTCGCACTTCTCTAATGACATTTGGCCACTAGTTGTCTATGCCAGGAGCTTTATTTCGGGTTTAACATTGGCAGCAGACTTTTGGTATTGCCATCTTCAACGATGGAAGTATTTTGCTGAGTTGCCCAATGCCTTGTCCTTTTTGCTAACAAGTTGAACTGGTTTGGGGTAAATTGTATGACTCGTCTGTCGTCTGGGAATGTGACTGAGCTGAAAAAACTGTTCGAGTAGGTTTAGCTGGCATTCTGTTGTGGTCTGATTATAGTGTTGCCATCAGAATTTGTGCAGAGACCAACTCTGTCTTTTGCTCTCAGCTTAGATCTAGTGTAGGCATAGAATGATTTGTAGTGTCAATATCTTCGATATTCTCAGAAGTTTATTTATCAAAGCCTTTTCTTTTGCATGGTCTTATCTCTTTTGGTAGCTGCCCCGGTTAAGTTGCTAATCTGTATGAGTGTAGTCTTCATGGGTTTTGGACTGGTGGTATTTTTTCCAAAGTTCTGTGATTCTTAGTCCATTGCCATTAAACGCTTCTTTAGTTATCCATTTTGCGTTTTATGTTTCGCGCTACTTCCTTTTCTTGTGGTACAAATTTCAGTCTAACAGCATCATGGGAAGATGTTCTTGAATGTGTCCAATTTTGCGTTTGCTAGATTTTCCTTCAAAGCACTGTCCCAGCCGTGCTTTGAAAGCATGATTCTCATTCCTGCATTAATCTGCTTTTGTCCATACCGTCAAAAAATTGGTTTATCTTGCTACCTCGATTATAATAGAGATAATCAGGTCCATTTGACAATTGCAATGGTCACTGTTTACTAAGCTGTTCGCCTCTACTGATAGATTTTCTACCGATTCCTTCTTCAGATTGAGACGACCAAGTCTAATATATTGTTCCCTCTGCGCTGCGTATGATTAACTGTTGGATAAGGAAAGCAGTCCAACAATGAGATCTCAAGATACTGCATCAGTGCAGTTGCCTTCAGTTGATATGTTTGTTTCCAATTTATTGTGATTGTACACATTAAAGTCTCCATTATTACGTGCTTCGTGCATTTGCTTGCTTCTCTAATAGATTGCTGATGATGTCTGCCAGCCTCTATTATGCTGATGCCGCGCTGTTGTAGCGTTTCCTATTGTAAGAGTGCCTTTACATGTCTGTGAATAGTCACACCATATAGATTCGGTTTCAAAATTGTGTTTGTGAGCTTCTTATTTGTTACTGCATGTTCCATATCAGAGTGAATGAATATAACAGAACACCTCCACCTTTTCTACCCTTTCGATCCTTTCTGACCAGCTCTAATTATAAGCCGTTGATAGCTCGCGTCTAGTACCTCATATATGTGTCCATGCCTCAGTTCTCCAACGTATGTCTGGCCTTGTCTGTGTAATGTAAGGTGTAATCTGGTATTTATGTTCAGAGCTTCTTGCCATTGTAAGGCACACCACATTTTGAAACAGCATTATCGTTGTTAGATTGTGATTCAATTGCTTTACGTTGCTGCTTCGGTTCTTGATTGCAGTTGTATCTGGCCCATGTTTATAAGCCTGCAATCTTATTTATGTGTCGGTATGTTTATTTTCCTACCTCGCTAGTCATCTTGGGGTTTTGCTTTGGGTGGACGGTCCGTCATTTGGACCCTTCACTTCTCCTTAGCGTGTGTATAGGCATCATCTTATACGTACGCGCGGTATCGATCATCGCGCGTCAGGTGCACTTCACACCTGGTTACCACGCCAGCCGGCGTCGTGTGAAATACTGGTTGAACAACTGACTTGTTCCTGGATATGCTAATTGATTGGTGAGCTCGGTTCGCCGTCTACCTCGTGTACTAACTCTAATATCTCGCGAACAGTTTGAGTTACATTTCTAAAATTCTAGACACATATAAACACATGTGTTAGCTATGATTTCTGTGATTTTTGAGTTTATTGAAGCACGAATAGTGTAATTAATTACCAGAAATATACGTACGCGCGGTATCGATCATCGCACCTGGTTACCACGCCAGCCGGCGTCGTGTGAAATACTGGTTGAACAACTGACTTGTTCCTGGATATGCTAATTGATTGGTGAGCTCGGTTCGCCGTCTACCTCGTGTACTAACTCTAATATCTCGCGAACAGTTTGAGTTACATTTATAAAATTCTAGACACATATAAACACATGTGTTAGCTATGGTTTCTGTGATTTTTGAGTTTATTGAAGCACGAATAGTGTAATTAATTACCAGAAATATACGTACGCGCGGTATCGATCATCGCACCTGGTTACCACGCCAGCCGGCGTCGTGTGAAATACTGGTTGAACAACTGACTTGTAGCCAGTTCCTGGATATGCTAATTGATTGGAAACGAGATCTTGTCTGCTTATTGTTGTTGTTAAACAGATTTGTGTTCGGATTGACTAATCGCGGCGCGTGCCGTGTGTGCGTGTGCGCGCGCGCTTGTGTGTGTGTGTGTGTGTGCGCGCGCTTGTGTGGGCGTGTGCGTGTGCGCTTGTGTGCGCGCGTGTGTGTGTGTGTGTGTGTAATGTTCAATGACAATTACCAAATGAAAAGAAGCGGGAACTTGTATTTGACTACAAGAGAGATAGAGAGAGAGAGAGAGAGATCTAGAGTGAAATGAAGCATTGTGGAAATTTTTGAATTCAATAAACAATAAACACTGAACACGTAACATTTCTTTTAATCAGCGTATAACGCATACACGGCAAGCGCCGCGATTAGTCAATCCGAACACAAATCTGTTTAACAACAACAATACGCAGACAAGATCTCGTTTGCAATCAATTAGCATATCCAGGAACTGGCTACACGTCAGTTGTTCAACCAGTATTTCACACGACGCCGGCTGGCGTGGTAACCAGGTGCGAAGTGCACCTGACGCGGGATAATCGATACCGCGCGTACGTATATTTCTGGTAATTAATTAAATTAATCGTGCTTTAATAAACTCAAAATTCACAGAAATCATGGCTAACACATGTGTTTATATGTACCTAGAATTTTAGAAATGTAACTCAAATCGTTCGCGAGATATTAGCCTCTGACGATACCGCGCGTATATTAGCTAGCCTATATGACGATACCGCGCGTACGTATATTTCTGGTAATTAATTACACTATTCGTGCTTCAATAAACTCAAAAATTACATAAATCATAGCTAAGACATGTGTTTATATGTACCTAGAATTTTAGAAATGTAACTCAAATCGTTCGCGAGATATTAGCCTCTGACGATACCGTGTGTATATTAGCCTATATGACGATACCGCGCGTACATATATTTCTGGTAATTCATTAAACTATTCGTGCTTCAATAAACTCAAATTTCACAGAAATCATAGCTAAGACATGTGTTTATATGTACCTAGAATTTTAGAAATGTAACTCAAATCGTTCGCGAGATATTAGCCTATGACGATACTGCGCGTATATTAGCCTATATGACGATACCGCGCGTACGTATATTTCTGGTAATTAATTACACTATTCGTGCTTCAATAAACTCAAAAATCACAGAAATCATAGCTAAGACATGTGTTTATATGTATCTAGAATTTTAGAAATGTAACTCAAATCGTTCGCGAGATATTAGCCTATGACGATACTGCGCGTATATTAGCCTATATGACGATACCGCGCGTATACGTATATTTCTGGTAATTAATCTTGTAAT